GTGTCCTGCAGAGGAAACCACAGAGAGCAGCAGAGGATCCAATCATCCGACACTCCTGGAATTGTCGAATGCTGAAAATTCTTTAGCAGACTTTGACCTCCCACGCTCAGATTTCAGCAGCTGAGTAGCGGACGGGTACGCATTCATTGTTTTTTCTACAGGGGTGGCTTTCTTTGTTTTCTTTTAAACAGGGACAAAATTGATTTAATATACGGATGGCTGTGTGCGGTCCCTGACCGGAACAGTGGCATATGATCATTGATTGGCTACTGTGAGTGACTGCACTTTTGCATAGGGCTCTTGTTAAAAATTTGATTACAGTCCTATGAATAGAATTATTCACATGCTGTTGTTCTTTTGATAAGATACACAAGATGTGATGGCGATGGAACTATTGGCATCTTAGGAGCTCAACATCTCCATCTCTCTAGAACATTTTACTGGTACCACTGATGTATCCACTGCCAGCAGCTGAACAAAAAGCCATCAACTCAGATGCATCAATTTCAGATGAAGTGTGGAAGTGAGCATTCAGACAGGAAAGGAAGATTTGCATCTCTGGTTGCAGTTTTTATTTTGGCACTCTTATATTTCAATCCTTTCAGTGCAGACATGTGTTAAGGTATTATGTTTAGGTAGAGGATTTTAACAACTCCCATCAAATATATAAAACAGCCTTTAGTTCATGCAGTTTCCTCAAAAGTCATGGAAATTTGTTTTTATATTAAAGTGACACTAAACTCAGGAGTTAAAAATACATTCAAGTACCTTAACTATTAACAAAAATGTATTTTATTTGTGTATCACTCGGCTGTAGATCATCAAATCATCTCTGAATTGGTGCTGACACTGTCCTTCCTTCTGGAGGGGGGCTACTTTTGTTCCCCATGGTCCCTGTGTGTGTTGTAAAGTAGTCACTGCTCCAAGTTTGCTCCTGTGATGGAATACAATCTCACATTGAGATCCATCACAGGAGTGAGCTTGGAGCAGTGACTACTTTACAACACACACAGGGACCACGGGGAACAAAAGTAGCCACCCTCCAGAAGGAAGGACAGTGTCGGCACCAATTCAGAGATGATTTGAGGATCTACAGCTGAGTGAGACACAAATAAGAACATTTTTGTTAATAGTTAAGGTACCTGAATGCTTTTGTAAGATTTAACTCCTGGGTTTCGTGTCGCTTTAAGTAGTCACCTACCTGTTGAAATTAGGCTTGCAGTGGGAGTCCCTGCTCTGTAAAGGGGTAGTAGGAGGAGGCACTTGGGTACACTTACAGACGTTCAGGCCAAGGTTAATGTAACAGAATTAGGTGATGTTCAGTAGTGTTCCATACTATAGACAGTAGGTGGGACAGTTCTGTCAAATCTGCAGAATTACAGGCCGTTAAGAGTGTTGTAAACCTTCTGTGCAGACATACAGCATGGCGGGGTGGGTAGAACAGTCTTTGCACCACTATACATCCTCACACTGGCAAAACTGTTTCCATTTAAATGTGTACCTGTGTAACTTTTTTGCTGAGGTTGCCCTTCAAATGATCATATAGAAAAAAAGTTTTAAAAATGAGATTAGGAATATAATATTATTAAAGGCAATTAAAGGGTATGTAAACCCTAACAGTGAACTTCTTTTATTTGTTCTCTTTTGACCTGTTAAATATATTACTGAAAGAGTTTTGTTATATCTGTTTGATAAGTGCAGAATATACCTGTTGATATTGCCAGAAATCTTGTTAGCTGATAATATCCTGTGCTCTCCACCTGCGCTATAATGTAATCAGTTTTATTGTTCTGAGGACTACAGGACCCGGCCCATCTATGTTATGGACAACAGGACAGACGGAGTTTTTTCATTGTCCTGTTTCTGTTGTCCCCATACAGTCCAGGGAGTGAGGTTTGTCATAGTAGGACAGTAAGTGTGTCACTGGTAGGATCTCCAGATGAAAATAAAGGGTGAGAAAGCCCCCTTTGATAAAAAAGGAATGCATAAAAAATAAAATGAATGCATCCATCACTTCTGAGGACTGGTAAACTGCAATACGTTTTTAGTTTCAAGTTTAGATACGCTTTAATGGCCACCCTTTTCCTCCTTGCAATATTGGGGATCAGGGCAGCCATCAGAAATTTTGGGGCCCCTTACACGGCTGTAGGCTCTAACTCTGGGCTTAGTGACCCGCTGGACGCAGGACCCACCTGAGAACCTGCAGAGCCCACCATAGATGCTGCACAGCCCATCTGATACTCTCTATGGTGGGCTCTGCAGGGGTCCCAGGTGGGCTTGTGACCTGGCTTCCTCTGCCGCTTGACTGGCCGGAAGGGATGTGATGTCACTTCCGGCTGGTCCGAGATCAGAAGAGCAGCGGCACTGATGTGGCCCCAGCCTGCTCCGATGCCGCTGGATCAGCAATGCAGCGGCCCGGTGCTGTTAGGGCCAGGCTTCCTCCAGTGCTGCGGGGTCCCAGCCACCTCCTTGCCTGTCACCGTCGGCCGATACTCATGTAAGGGTCCCGTGCGGGCCCCCCAGGCTGCCCGGGCCCCTTACATGAGTATTGGCCGTACCCCCTGATGGCAGCCCTGTTGGGGATGCACACTAAGACTTAATCTGGCCATATACTGATAGAATTACAGACGATTCACAGGAATCGACTTTGGTTGAAGGAGCCGGGTTGAAAATTGTTGGCCAAACACCGACTGTAGCCAATCAGATGGAGGTGCCTGCTGTCAATATACAGTATCCTCCCGGGGTGGGATTCCTCTATCCGTGCTGTTTAGTGTGGATGGAAGAACCTTTTAGATTTAGCTCAGCTAGCATGTAGGCTGGACAAAATAAATCTATTATTGTGTAGCCTGCTTTATATTACAAAACCTAAAGACCAAATTGGTCTAACCTTACATGTTTTAGAGCAGAAAAAACTGCCTTTATCAATAAGGTTTTATTCCAAAATCCTTTTATATCCTTTTATAACATCAGCCATCACCAGAATTTAAACAGACAACGCTGTCAAATAGTTCACACTACTGAACACATGTTGCTGCTTCAGTCAATGTTTTCTCATTATAGTTCATATCACCCAGACCAAGTGTCCCATCGTCCTATATCTCTCATTATTCTTGCACTTGTTCACAGCTCCTCATTATCTCATGTGTCTCCTTCATAGACTTGTAACTTGTAGGAGCACAAAGGGAAGGTTCACACCATTTTCAGGACCAGATCTGGAAAGCAGTGCACTGCGATTTGCCGCGGTTTTACAGCGATTTTGCTGTTTTCCTGAGCTGTTTTTTTTTTTGGGGGGGGGGGGGCTTTCAGGTGCGTTTGTATGTGTTTTTTATGTGTTTCCATGCATTCCAGATCAGACAAAATGAGACATTCAGTATTTTTCTTTTCTGGTCTGGATCAGACTGCGCTGGTGTGAACAGAGGCCAGAAATAGCACAGGGGATATATTAGGATGCATTTTGGGTCTGGAAACAATCAGGTTTGGTCTGGAGATGATCTGGATGTGGTGTGAATGGGCCCTTCGTGCTAGTTGTGATGCAGTCTGTTCATTGTGGCTACTGCAGCCAAAATACATTACAATGCTTTCTATGGGCTATCTGGTGCTCCGTTCCAATGCAGTCAGAAAAAAATACTACTTGCTCTATTTTAGCTGCATCAAATCGCCCCGGAAACGCATCAAACGCACTGGAACACACCTGAAATCCCATTTTAAGCAAAAAAAATGCATCAATTGCGGTAAAATGCATTGCAGTTACGCAGACACGCATAATTCTGATGTGAACTAGCCCTTAGATCTTTTCAATACATATTTCCTTCAATTGTTACATTCACAAACAGAAATGTTACAAAACTTTGCAACAGATTAACTTATTTGTTCCTCACTGTTGCATTCAAAATCACATTAGGGCCGAGTGTTCCACTTCATTCTAGGCAGCCAATCAAGCCAGCAATATTTCAGTTCATCCATACATGATCACTTAGGCCTGGTTCACACCTAGGCAGTTGAGCTGTTGAGTTGCTTTGGCGCAATTCTGGTTTGAAAACCTCATGTTTTTTAATGCATAGAGATGTCTATTGGACCAAAACCGTGTGATAACCGCCCGAAAATAGCTCCTGCACCTTTTTGCGCAACAGGTGATTTCGCCCCCCGTGTGATGCAATGCAAAGATGTGAACAGCCTCCATTGACTTGAATGTGAATCTGTGTAATATAATTCCATATACGTATTATTAAATGGATATCCTCCAAGTAAGTGTGGCCTGTTGGTGCTATTGTGTCTATATAATCATACAGCCACAGCTACAGCCACAGCATCTCTGTTGGATATGTACAGGTTCAGAAATTGCCTGATTCCCAGCTTTCATTCCAGGAGATTTACTGTTAATGTCAAAGATGTCTAGTGTGTGCTTACAGTTGTTCCTTTAAATCCTCTTCTGGCCATCTTTCATATAATCCATTTCCCTAAACCAATTAGAATTTGAACAAATATTATCTGTGTTTGTTTATGTATAAAAAACTTGTTGCTGCCCTCATATAATATGATGTGTATATGAGGGCAGTCATATTTGTTCATTGCATATGCAGGATTTGCTTCCCGCCTACTAATGCAGCTCATAGGTCTGCTCTATGGTTCCTCTCTCTCAATGCATGCCTGTCGTGCAGATCAGACTATAAATAGTACATTCCATAGATATGAATGATTTTTTTCTTGTCTTATATACAGATAGCCAGCAGATGGACAATCCACAAATCTGTATATAAAGTGTAACTTTGAAACTATATAGTAGCATATATGTGTATTACTTGCAATTGGCATTCATAGGCATTGCATCGTATATCATTGGGGTAAACTATTACAGGTCTGTTTGTGTATACTATCATTAAACTCTACTTTGTGTAGCTGCAATACCAGCTTGACGAAGTTGCACAATTTAAAAAAGTTGTTTTGTTTTGTGTTTTCTTAGCAGAAGTTTTACATTTGATTATTTGTTTTTTGTGTTTAAGCAACAAGAACAAGATCCAACAAACCTGTATATATCCAACTTGCCATTGTCCATGGATGAACAAGAGCTTGAGAATATGCTGAAGCCATTTGGACAAGTGATATCGACAAGGATACTGCGTGATTCCAGTGGCACCAGTCGCGGAGTTGGCTTTGCAAGGTAGGCTTTATGGGCACAGAATTTTAAAGGTATAACGTTCTCTCTAATCAGAGTTGAAAATTAAACCTTAAGACACCTAAAATGAGAACTGCCCACCTGCTTAGAGTTGCAATTCACCCTCCTTCCCTTATTTGTAATCTGGGAACCATCTTTGCTCACTTGCTTGTAATACAGGGGAGGTATTCCCAGCCACACCCACCACCGATTTCTTGCTATGTCTTATACAGAAAGCCTGATGAATCATACAGTCATTTCTAAGAAACTAAACGGTTGCCTAGGGGTGAATTCAAATGGCTGCTTCTGCACCCTATTTGACATTTTTCATAAAGTGCGAGCGGGAGCAAGCTTGCAGCAGTGGCCGCTTTACAGCACACACGGGGAACATGGGGAACATAAGTAGCCGCACTCCAGAAGGAAGGACAGTGTCAGCACCAACTCAGAGATGATTTGAGGATCTACAGCCGAGTGATACACAAATAAGCTTAATTTTAGTTTTTAGTTAAGGTACTTGAATGTATTTTTAGGATTTAACTCCGGAGTTTAGTGTCAATTTAATATAAAAACAGATTTCCATGACATTTGAGGAAACTGCATGAACTAAAGGCTGTTTTATATACAGGTATTCCTCACTTAACGACCGAGTTCCGTTCCTACGACCAGATCGTTAAACGAATTGGTCGTTAAGTGAGGAACTCTATACAGTACTGTATTGCATTAGTACAGTACTGTATAGCGTTGCAGATGTACAGTACCGAACAGTGTACTGTACATCGGGCAATAAAACACTTACCGGGACCCGCAGTGAAGAACGGAGGAAATCACTTCCGCCGGCGACACGTCACACGGACGATGACGCGTAAGGTCGGAAGTCGATCGGAGGACGGTCGTAAGTGCGAGTGGTCGTAAAGCAGGTAAGTCGTAAAGCGAGGAATGTCTGTATTTGACGATTTTATTATTTATCTCCTGAGTTTAGTTTCACTTTAAGGATTGAGATTTTATGCTTTTTTTCATAATATACTTAACTTAAAAATACACAACTGTACATAACTTAAGAACTTAATACTTTAAGATAAAATCATTTTTAGTTAACAACATAGTCGTATGTTATTAATGTTGCTTTTCCTTCACTTTCAGGATGGAATCGACAGAGAAATGTGAAGCAGTGATCAATCATTTTAATGGAAAGTTTATTAAAACTCTTCCTGGTGTTTCAGGTTGGTACATTTGAGTTCCTTGTATGTTTAGAATAACTGATCAGACACTGAGTCTTGTGGAATAGGCTATCTTCTTATCTAGTACATAGTAGAATCTTGCAAAGTTTACTAAAAACATCAGGAATCATTTGTCAGAATGTTTGTAAGAAGTCACAAGGTGAGAGGCTGCACCAGGGGCTGATCTGTATCGGTAACAAACTGCACAGGTACCAGTATTACATGACTGGATCATCTCTGACTCAGCTTATCAGTCCACAAAGTAGATTATGAACCTGAACAAAGACAGCTCTGTCCTTCTGGAGAGAATAGCAGATACAGTATTGTCAGGGGGAGTACTGTGATCTCTGTAAGAGATCATACATATCTGTATGTGTTACACTTACACATTACTTAGCATTCATGAACTTAGCAGTGTTTAGTAATAATGTCTAATGCTAGGTCCATTTTAAGTCTATCTGCAGCTAATGGTAATTCCAAGGTAACAGAACTTAAATGGCCTCACTGGGTTGTTAAAATGGTGACAGCCATATAAAGCACCTGGTAATCAAAGTGTAAATTTCCTTGAAACATCTGCACAAAGGCACTTTGAGTAGCTGATCAGATATATCATGCATTGAATAGAAGGACATTCTGATAGTTCTTTGAATTCTTAGCATGCAGTATTGCTCCGGAAATACAGGCATTCAGCTGTTAAGCTGTTTTAACACACTGCTGTTATTTTATTTTTCACCTTATCTTTTAATCAACTCCTGACAGCAGACAAACATGAAAGCAAAGATTCGTTTCATGCCACACCACCACAGGGCTTAAGGAATCTGGTGTATGCCTCTCTTTTATATGTCTAAAGTTAGCCATGCATGCTATGATTTCAGGCAGAACAAGGTAGATCACTTAGTTTGTGTAACCAGGTTGTGTCAACAGGGCCATCCCCGGGTCAAATGTCATCAGTTTCAGCAGGAATTGTCTGAAATGCGATCCGTGTATGTGGTGCCATCACTACCTTTTTCACTGCCTGAGGCAGCCAAGAGAAGGGGGCTGAGCGGTAGGCGGTGGGCGAGCAAGTGGTAGGTGGCAGGCAGCTGAGCGGGAGACAGTGGGCAGCTGAGAGAGAGATGGCGGGAGGCAGCGGGTGGCCAAGCTGTCAGCCTGCCAAGCGGAAGGCGGTGGGTGGCCAAGCTTTCAGCGAGGGGGCTTAATGCTGTTAGTTGCACATGCTGTTGCCTTCCTTCCCTTCTGCATCTCCCGCCCCCCAAATAAGATGCCGACTGCCTCATTATGGGGATACCCCTGCATATATGGATAGTTTTACTAATCTCAACTGATGAAAGAAAAAATCTGATTGGTCATTTTGCGTCAACTATCTAGTCCAATCTGCCACTAGAGAGTATTATTGGGAGATGGGCTACTCATTCAGTCTCTCAACAGTATCATCTAGTGGCAGCAAAGAGAAGCTTCCTCCCCTTCTGTGTAAACACTGCACAGGGAGGCAGCAGGCCAAGCTGACCTAAGTCATCTTAAGTAAAGATAGTATGTCCTATTGGGTTTATTTGTACAGGTACTGTACAAGTGGACTAAAAAGTAGAATTGGTCAAAATAACGTATATCTAAAACCAAAACAGCAGAAATAGGACACAGCAGTGAAATCCTGGCAGATGTTCTTACCCCTTACCACTCTGTCTAAAAGCAAAAGTTTCAGATACACTTTAAAAGTAGGCAGTACAGAAAGGAGTGATATGTACACACTGTGCTTCAGGATTCTGGCTTTGCCATTTCCGAATCTTTACACACTGTCCAGAGTCACTAACAGAGAGATATTAATCTCTGCAGACCTTCCTTAATGACAGTAATTCTGATATCTATAATATGTATTTCTCAGGTGTGTGAGTCACAGGGTGAGTGATTTAGAAATGAATGTAATTATTCGTGATTCAGCCTCCTAGATAGAGTACCCGGACCGCCAGTAATTACAGCATGTGCTGTGGTGATTTATAAGCAGCTTGACTTCGCAGGAAGGATATGAAACACCCTTCTATGACTGCTCTGGATTTGATATAATCACTATTGGCACTATCCATCACCCTGATAAAGAATCATTTATGCTGACATGATCACAAACCTACTAATTAATATTTTAATGCGTTCCAGGATTTTAGGATCTTCCTTCAATGAGGACTGTACTCTGAGAAGTATGACAGACACGTTGAACAAGCTAGATGGTCACATATGTCACATTTAGGGGGAATTTTCACAATTTTAGGTTGCAGTTTTCACATTATAGTCTTTGAGATCTTTGGTGTTTGCAATGCATTATCTGTAGCATGTCCAATTAGGACTAACTGTACTTACTAGAGTTGAAAACTGGAAAGGCATGTGACTTCCTCCCCCTTCTTTCCACGTGACAGTGCTACGTCTTGATGTTTGACCGCTTAGGCATTAACATTGTCACATAGGGGCCGGGAGAGTGCTGGAAACCTGCAGCTTACACTGGGCTTTCTCTCTTTGGCCACTTTAGTTGAGAAAAGGAAATCATCTGCTCTGTGTCATTCATAAATATCACAAGGATTTAGGAGAATCATTGCAGTATTTTTTTACCTGCACTGCTCTGTACTCTATATCCGCATCTGTGCAAATGTGCAATTTCTATCACACTTTCATAATGCTGCTGCTTATTATCAGAACCATCTGCAACTTCATACATTTGTAGAAAAATGCTGCAAATTCTGGTGACTAAAATTATATAGTTGGGTTTGACCACCTGTGGTCAATCGGCCCATTGTTAAAAAAGCACACAAAAAAATAAAAGAACCACATAAATCCTAAATTGTTTTGTAAACTTAGTAGTGCAGTAACATTAAGCAGAAAAGCTTAAATGAAATGTAACCTTAAAAGAGGGATTAAAGGATATGATAAGTTAATCATAAAGATGTATCCCAGACAGGATGCAAGCATTCAATTTTGTAGGCTTTTGTTGGGAAATGAGCTTGCTCAAGGCCACTGTAGACTCGAGACTGAACTGAGACTGGATAAAATGGAATAATTAGTTTTGCTGAGATGCTGTGTGTTTTCCTGTCACAATACACAGCAGGTATACAGGGAGTATTTCAAGATTGCTCTGCTGATACCAGACATGTCAGCTGAAGAGAAGAAAACGGACGGCATAACACAGGGCCGCAAGCTTTAAATTAGCCCCAAAGAGGACAACAGTCTACTTAATGAACTCATCAGCAGCATAGGTAGAATCTCTGGAATGACATTCTCTACCCAAAAACTTTGTCTACATTCTTTAAACAGTAACAAACATGTGCATTTTCAGCAATAATAAAAAAAAAAGCTCTGCCTCTGGTCTACTAACAAAATAAATGTAAATATAACTGTGTATATGAAACCTATGAGTGCCCTTCATCTTAACAGTCACACAAATGACTACATAGCAGTTAAATCATCCTAGAAACCCTACAACATGTGCTGTTCTGGAAGTCCTGGTTCTTCTCCGACTCCCTTGCCTCTCACTTCTCACTATTGGTCATTTAGAATGATGGGCTAATAGTGAGATGGGAAGGGCAGACTAGAACTCAACATTCTCTGCTGAAGTTGGGGCTTGCACAATAGGGTGCCCAGTGTTTTGGGGCTGCTGGGTGCTCAGTGCTCAGTCAGCATATAAACATATGTAAAGGAACCTCTGGGTGCCTGCTTTCAACTCCTGGAGAGAGTTAACTAAGTTCAGCATGATGAGTTTACTTCAGAGGGGTTGTTTAGGAAAATGTCAATGCCAGTTTTTAAATGTCTGATGGTTTATATTGTATGAACAGCTGTGTTCTTTTATGTAGCATTTCTAGCATCAGTTTCTTTGTATTTCTCTATCTATATCAAACATTACATTGTTTCCTGTGAGTTCAGGTCAGGTATTGCAATGTAACATGGAAGGGAGGGAGTCCTCCTATCCGCCACAGCCTATCACTGACAGGTTAGTGACACATAGCTCAGTGGTTGACAAGTTACAAGGTTTAGGGGGCTTCACCTGCGGCCCCTGACATCCCCAAAGGGCTGTTCAGTATATGTAACACTACAGAAGACTGTCAGAGACTGCAGAATTACAAGAGGGTACAGCCAGAAACTATGAACATGCTACGGGTGTGGTTGTAGACCTGGTCTAAAGCCAGTCATACACTAATACGAACGTTCGTATAAAAGAGCTTTCATTACCACCTGATAAGCCGTCAGACACATGACGAATGTCAATCAAAATTTCTTTTCATTTTAACGTTGGATTTCGTAATGAATGGAGTTTTCTGAACCAAAACCACATACACTGTTAGAATTTTAATTGTTCGAGAAAAATTCTCCATGCTGCTTCTTCGAGTTCTTTCCTCAATACGGTTGATTTGACCCCATCAACTCATAGAAAGTTGAACGAACGTTAAGTTCTTTCAAAAATCTAAGCAGTGTATGGCCAGTGTAAAAGTCAGCCAGAGACTGGGAACCTATTACTATATATGAGACTGCTAGAGATTACTGCTGTTTTACATTCCCTTTACTAAGTCAGCACTGCCTCTGCTGAATGGTGTTGTCCAAGGACTGTATGGCAAGCACCAATGAGCCACAAGCGGCCCTCAGGCCATAGGTTGGGCATCAGGTTGCTAGCCAGTAAGAGAAGGCTCTGTTTACTGTTTCTTAATTATACATATAAGCAAACATTTTTTTCTTTTTGCCAAGACTCCACTGCACTCCTTGTTCTCTACTGACACTGACTGACACATAATGAATAATGTATTATCACTAAAGGAGTAGGCTGATGTAACGCTACAGTATAAGCCATTTACATGTTGGAAACTATTCTATTAGTTTGGTATGGTCTTTGTCATAGCTGGGCTGTACTACTAAACAAATCACTTGTAATTAAAAGGGCATTGTACGATCAAGAATTCATTACGGTAACTGGAAGTGAATGACAGATATCTATGTACTTTCATTGTAGTAATTATAGAGGTGTTAGAGGGAGAGTGTTGTACTCTTTGGCTGTAATCACATTGGGAAGGGCTTGTACTAGCTGACTCATAGTCTGTAGATTGTAATGAGTGTTACTACCAGTGATGTAGGTTATAATAGAACATTGCTACACAGGTGATTTCTGCATTGCGCTGTCATATGGTTGCCAGCTCTCACTGATTCATAGTTGAAGACTTTTTTGCTGGAAATTTATCCATGTGCAGATGTCCTTTAGGGTGAAAAAATGACTGGCTTTACCACACAATCCTCTGTGCCAGCATGTTAGGTTAGATTAATATTTAGTTTTAAAGCTGACCTGCAGCCATGCAACATAATACACAGATGACTGCCAATGGATTTGTATTTCTGTCCAAAGCTTTACTCTACCTCATCACCCAGCACAGTCAGGTGGACAACACCACTTTCAGTTAACGAATACGGTAGTGTCCTTTCTCCTGCTGACTGGACAGTGAAAGAACAGCTGAAGCCTAATAAGCTGATCTCTCGTCTGACTCTGCTTTTTCCTCCTATTGGCATGTCCCTTGCCCACACACCTGATTGGCTCCCATTGCTACCCATCCCTCTTTTAGTCTGAGTACCGCAGTACAAGGATTGTAAAAGGTTGATACCAAATCAAATTCAGGTACTTATCCTATTTCCATTTAAAAATACATTTAACAAATTATTAGTGAATACCTTCACTTGAGTCTAATATAGCTGCTTAGAATTCAGCTTTAATGTCCTTAAGTCATTATAAAACTCAGCATTTAAAGTGACACCCCAGCCAAAAATCATCATTTTCTAGGTTTAGATAGAGTACAGAAGGGTTTGAATCTGACAGATTCTATTGCTGTCATGTCACCAGAACAGGAAATGAGACGATATCTGGCAGCCATAAAAGCATTTTGTTTAATAGATTGATTCAGTTGTAGAACTTTAGTTAGGTTTATAGAGGTGTGGGTGCCGCTGTTGGTAAGGCTTCCTGTTACATCTTGCCCAAATGATCCCGTCATGGTGGTCATTTAGCAAGATTGCTGACTGTACTGCTGGATATAAAGATAGCCACTAATGGGAGAATCTAAACATCAGTGTATAAATTATTATCATAAGAATATGGCTGAATCAGGTGAATGTGATACCTCATAGTGTGTAGTTAATGAAAATACATTATAGTTGCCCTTTTCAATGCGCTGTTAGCTAAGCCATTTGGAACATCCATTTTATTTATCATTTCACTAGAAACTAACAGCAGCACTGTGGTGTGTGTGTGGAGGGAATTCATAGACAGTTTTCTATATTTATTCACCACAAAATGGTTATTTCAACCGTGTTGACAGGTACACTTTAAAAATAGTGTACCTCTCTTCTAATAGAAGCAGTGGTGACAGCGGGTGGTAAATAATATTTTTTCTTGTGACTTGCTGATGCCTTTGCTTATTTTTTGCAGCTCCTACAGAAGCTCTGCTGTGCAAGTTTGCAGATGGAGGTCAAAAGAAGAGACAGACCCAGAACAAATATGTCCAGAATGGAAGAGCTTGGCCGAGAGAGGGGGAGGTGAGACTTGTAAGTCTTTCATTCCAATTTCAGGGTGGGTGCGTGAGGGATTCGCTTCAAAACATGACTCACACACACTTACACACAGAGTTCTTGGCTTGGTGCAGCCAGGGCATGGGTGTGTGGAACTGTCTTATTGCACTCTTGTACTCAACCTCTTCTGCTAGGTCTTGGTCTTAAACCCACATGTCCATGACTGAACTCTTCACAGCTATGCAGCTTGGCCTAGATGTTACTCTCACAATTATTTTTCTCATGCACTACTAGGCATGTAAATGAGAGGACGAAAGTGTAGTAAACCAATGATTACAGAGATGGAAAAAAATTATGAGATTTATGAGTCTAGTTTAGTTTCAAGGCCCAGAGGTGTTACTATGAGGAAATAATAGGAACAGCTGCCCAAGTATGACATAGCGAGTGAGAGGAATCATATTTGCTCAAGTCTTTAATTGAAAGCCTAATTAGCCATCCTATCTATGGTCATCATACAGAAATAGAACAGAGAAGACTGATCTGTGGTTAACTGCTTACAGTATACCCCAAACACCACCACCCCTCCCAACGGCATCCTCCAAGACTTCAAAACACTGCCAGCATACATACCTTTACTGCCGGAGCATTCCAGCTGGTCACCTGATGAACAGGGTCTTCTTTTTTATCTCCAGCAGTGGGCAATCTTCCGAATATATTAGAATTGTGACATCTTCTATGCAGCATTCCACTGTGAGCTTAGGGTATATGATGACACTAGCTCTGGGGGTCATTGGCAGCCTAGGCTTACATGAAAATGTAGAACAGGGATAGGCAAACTCCGGACTTCTAACTGTGGTGCAACTACAAATCCTATGCAAGGCTGACAGCCATAGGCATGACTCACAAAGGCAAATGCATGATGGCATTTGTTGTTTCACCACAGCTGGGCAGCTAGAGTTTGCCTACCCCTGATGTAGAGTAACACTGGGCAGTTCTTCCAATAGGACCTAAACTATGAGTGCACATAAATGGTGATTCTGTGAATTTCCTCTCCTCTGAAAAAATTCTATGTTGGGTTCTGTATCAGACACCATACAATATATGGAACTGTGTGTTCTGAATCATTTAAATGTGGTTGCATCCACTCTCCCTCTTATCAAGATTCTAGCTGTTGCACAGGAGGGGGATCTACCTATTGCTGATGATAAAAACATGAACAATGTTGAGTAATGAAATCAGGGTTAACCAGACCCATTATTCCCTAAGATGTATGGTACACTGTACATTTGTTGGGAGAAGTGTGCAGAACAGGTGCCTTATAATCAAACGTTTTGGACTAATGCTGGTCCTGCTTGCCTTTTAAATTAAACAGTACTTTATTAGGACTGCATAATGACTGTACATTTTGCTTTCATTAAACAGCAATCCAGCTGCAAGAGTTTGATTTCATTTTTCTCCTCTTCACAGGCTGGAATGACATTGACCTATGACCCCACTGCTGCTATTCAAAATGGGTATGTCAGAAGGTGATTTTCCCAACTCTGATCTTTTCATTCATGTTTGTTTTGTCCTGGAACACACAGTGCGGGCAGCTTTAAGTGATCTGAACCAGAGTTATTGGGAACTAGGAAACACTAATAATCTCGGTGGGCCTCCTGTATAGAAATTGTAATTTGATTTGGCTTGGGCAACACCATGAAATGTCAGTACTTACAAATTAGGCTTTGATGTTTCTGCAGCAGTGCTGGTAAGATTGGAGCCTATAGAAGCTATAGAGGGGTACGGGCAATCCTGACATGAGGTAAAATGAGAACAAATCAAAAACTAGGTATGGCATATGAAGAACACTAGACTATAAATGGGCCCATGACCACATTTTATCTAACCCAGTAGAGTAATAATGTGATGGCACTACTGCCAACTCACACCACAAATTGTTGTCTAGCAACCCGCACATTAAATGTCAGCATCAACAGGGGCTGTTGAGCCCCCCAAATGCTTTGGTGATTAATGTGACCTCCTGTTATGTTCAATAAAGACTTACTGGACTAATACCATACTTGTGGCCCTCTCATCATTCTCCTACTGTTCAGACTACTTCAGGGGCCCCTTGGGGTACCTCATCTGACAGACAGCTGCCTCCACATGGGAACCAAAGTTTTAATCTTCCACTAAGGCTCTAATAGCACACCTGTCATTAATATGTTTGAAGACAGAGCAGTTCTGGTCCATTGTGACCAACTAGATTCTACTTTTCACTTTCCCATACTGCACTGCTGCACTGGTATTATGGTAGAAACTTTGGTTTCTGTGGGGTTTGCTTTTCATTCAGATACTTCTGTGCATTGGCTTAGTTAATTAATTTGAAAGAAGTAACTAAACTGCATTCTCATCAGTATCAGCACTGGTCACCAAATAGACAATAGCGGCACTCTGGCGGTAGTCTCATATGCTGCTTTTCTCCCCCATTGCAGGTTCTATCCGCCGTATAGCATCGCCACAAACAGGATGATTACACAGACTTCTATCACTCCCTATATCGCATCTCCCGTCTCAACGTACCAGGTGAGTGGACGAGATACTGAGAACTACCCAGCTGGAAGATTGATTTTGAAACTTTACAGTTCATTCAAACAAATGTTCTCATTTATAAGTGATGGGGCTAAAGGAAGGAGCCTGTTATCATGCTAATTGCCTTAATTTAAAAGGCTGCACTTTATGCATTAAACATTTCCTGTTTTGTCTAATGTGTGATCGGTTTTCAGTTTTCTGTCTCTTTTTGTCTCGAGTTTATATGAAGTGAGGCTCATATGGCTTGCAGATATTTCCTTTTTTTGCAGTAGATGGTGATGGACTGAATTACAAACATCTACTTATGTGTCTTGATAGTGAGATCTCTTCACCTGGATACCTACTCTTGCACTCTTTTCATTTTCTTATTTACATTTTTGTAAAATCAAAAGACGAGCAGAGCAAGGCTCTGCCACAACAGGATGACGGGTAACATGAGGTAGCAGCAAATCCAACAGAGGCATCTTGCCACTGGAGACCACCATGAGTTAATAGAAAGCCAGTGTGTTATTTATCCCAGCAGCTCACAGTTTATTTTTCTATTTTTGGATAGAGTGAGGAAAGGTTGGAGCAGTTTTTTTGTTTTGCTGTCTGGAGATTTTTACTCACTTCCTGTCCCATGGGTGTCATAAAGAGCAGGAAGAGTTAGCAAATCTCCCAGAAGGGACACAAGTAATAAAAACTATTAATAAAGGTTAGACCCTGTGTGTTTCTAGATGTCCTTTCGGCCCCGAAAAGCGAAGTGAAATATCAGGCATTTCCATGTAAGGGTGAGTGTGTGGCTCACTCCCCCTCACCCATGTGACAAAAGGTTTTCTTTCCAGGTCCCAGCAGCCTAACAGAGTTTAGCCGGAGCAGGGAAAGGTAAGTATATGCTGCAGTGGTGGGTTGGATTAAAAGGCAAAACTTTTCTTTTAGTTTTGAAAAGGTTAGACCTTCTATCAAGTTTTTCTTTGCTATCTGTGTCTCTGTTGGAAATATTTGACTCTCTATTTGTTCTAGTGATCATTGTCACCAAGACAGAAAGCAATAGGAAATCCCAAATTTTAGAGTTGTCATTTGAGCAAAAGGCAAGGATAAATCATCCAATGGGCACAAAAGTTTTAATGACAAACTGTCTATGATGAAAATTCCTCTCACTGGGGAAATTTCTTCTAATTTTCGGTTGCCTCACTGGGACAGGAAGTAAAAAGAAATCACCCCAGCAAGAATTTTTTTTAGAGAGGTTTACTTTCCCTACTCTTTCCAAAACTAAAAATGTTTGCCTATATATATACACCTATTGACTCTTTTATTGTGCCCTGCATGAGCACAGGAAGGGGTCAATTTAGCAGTTTAAAATTGAGCACAATAAAACAATCCACAGTCCATAGCATATCAGTTCTTATAATGGGCAGCTCATCATTCCGTGAGCTTTGCAGGAATGTGAATACTGGGTAGCGCTCTTAACCACAAATCTTGGATTGAAATTCACATGGTCAATCCCAGCCTGAACATTTTGCCTCTAGACAATGGCAATTTTGGTTTTTAAATTAAAAACTTCCATAGTATTTTGGGTATGCTGGAGGAGAAGTCTAATGTGCATCCAGAAACTAGCCACAGACCACCAGTGATATATATATTTTTCAGACGTTGATGTGGTGAGTAGTGTCGTCCCGGAGTTCAGGCGGATTCTTTTTGCACGAGACTTGGATTTCGCCTGCGGCCAGCACTGAGTGGTATACAAGCTTATTTACTGCAAAGGACAATGATGGCACGCAGAGTAGAGCAACCCATAACAATCACATTTAATTTTACTGAATTAGCAATAAGTTCTGATTGGCTGCTGTGGGGAAATGCGCTTTGCAAATACCTCTTCGCCTATTTGAACACCTCTGCTAGCACCAAATGTTTAAAGTTAAATTGGAACTATGGGCAAAATAAAATATATGATGAAGTCTGTCACCGACATTATTAACACAGCAGGTTTTTTTTTTCCTGTTCATTCTGCCAATAGATCCTTAATTTTTTTTCTCTCTGCGATCCAGATTAACTTTGGCAAATTTGGCCATGTTTTATGTTCCACATGTTGGATGATAACCTGGTTTCCAGGAACATTTATGTCTGTTTTGTACAGCTAGTTATGCAAATGCATGCTGCAGATGTGAAACTGTAGCACAACCTGTAACAAATCAAGGCATCAGCGTTTACAGAAGTACAGAGTATTCTTATAAAACCAACTCCTGTTTCAATGGTATGACAAGTAATTAGAACCATACTGGCATTAGGCTGATCCAAAGCTACATCTTTACAATAAGTCTAGCAGCAATCTGTGTTTTTGTGACTAAGCTTACCTATTTTTTTGCAGGTGCCAAGTCCATCCTGGATGCAGCCTCAGCCCTACATCATGCAGCATGCTGTAAGTACTAAATGCCTGTGTAAACAACAGCAACACCTACAGACTGCAAGAGTGTACTACACTCAACACAGACATCACTTAACTTGTACTTTATAGCTTTTGAATTAGGAGTTAATGTATTCAGAGATATATGAGATCAACTTTATTTTAAATATATCTAAAGTAGATATAGAGGCAGTCATGGATCTTGCAGCAGAAGAAGTCAAAGCATTTTATTTTCAACGGAACTCAGCCCCTCTTTATTAAGACAAGAGTTCCATCAGAAGGTTGACAATAAAATGCTGATGCTTTGACTTAACTGCGCTGCAAGACCTGTGAGTGTCTCAAGACCTACATTGGATTTGTATGAATTTTTTTGTGGATGAGTGCGGTGGCTACCCCTGGGACTATTTTAAGTATATCTTCAGTTTGTTTGCATACTCATATAATTTTTCACAGCAAATATATAGTCTGACTTCAGTCTCTTTGCAGACGTCACTACTTTCCTGATGGGACTTTACAATGATAGTTTCAAAGTGTTGCAATATTAGAATTTTTATTTTCCTGTGGTATGTGGTTACATGCTTGCTGCCAATTGACGGCGATTGCTTAAAATGCTCCTTGTGCATTGCAATGACTATTTAACCCATATTCTAACCCTTAGCTAACCAAAGTTAACAATTATCACCCGTTTGTTTCATTTCATTTTTTATACTATGCTACAAAAAGGTTTTGCAACTTGCTGGAGGGTTTTGATGCAAGATGATACAGCTTACTTGTTCCTGTTAATTTACAAGTCGTACACTATACAGTTATTATGTTAGTCTGAAAAAAAACACTGTGCAAGTGCTATAAACTCTAGTTATGGTTATATTTTATTGCTCCTCTTTGTAAGTTTGTTTATAAATAGCTGGATTTCAGAACCCTTTGGGAATTCTACATTGCTTGAGCAAGGAACCTAAGTAGTCCCAAAAGCTTGCATTTTAACAACGTCCGTTAGCCAATAAAGAGTGTGACTTAAAGCTGAACTATACCCTCCTATCGCTTTCAGCCAAGGAAGATACCCTCTTAGACCCTATTTAAATTGCAGTTGCCATGGTGTTGCACATGTGATCAGCTATGACACCAGCCATTTGAGCACTTGAAAGTTCGGTTGAGAGCTGAAATAAGTACACTGGCAACCTTGACAGTGACAATAAGCTCAGGAGTTAAATCCTAAGAATTAATTCAAGCACCTTAACTATTAACTATTAACTATTAAAAATGTACAGAATGTTATTTGTGTATCACTCGGCTGTAGACCCTCAAATCATCTCTGAATTGGTGCTGACACTGTCCTTCCTTCTGGAGGGTGGTTACTTTTGTTCTCCATGGTTCCTGTGTGTGTTGTAAAGTAGTCACCTCTCCAAGCTCGCTCCCGTGATGGGTACAATCTTAATACAAATTAGTAAACTAAACATGAGATTGACATCATTGGTGCACAGTCCTACTTCTTTCCTGGACAATTGCAGACGTTTTAAATGCATGTTTTTTCGAACTTTTTATATTTTCATGTGACCGCAACGCTTTGGCACTGTCCCTTTTCTCTGAAGCTGTTGAGGTTAATGGGCATGATTTCTCTGGCAGCTGACACGGCAATTCCGTGTTGATGGAAGGCAGAGACACATGGACCAGCTAAAGCTTTAGGGTCATGTGACCAAAAAATTATATTTAGGTGCCAATTTAGAAGAAAATGCCTGCAGGGAGTATAACAACATAGGGAAATCAACAATAAATATGTATGTTGTTCTTTAACCCAGCCTTTCTCAACCAGGGTACCTTCTGGCTTTGTCAGGAGTGTCTTCACATTTTCGCACAGTGCCTCCATTTCAATGATGTTGGAGATCAGTCCATCAGCACCATGGAAACACATAAGAGGGATTTATTAAAACTGGAGCAGACAGAATATGGAGCAGATGCCTATGGCAACCAATCAGCTTAACTGTACAAGCTGAAAAGAGAATCTGATTGGTTGGTGTGGCCAGTTGCTTCAGATTCTGTGTGCTCCTGCTTTGATAAATGCCCCTCATGATGTGAAGGGGGGACTCTGGTGTGAAAGAGGGGAACCACACTTTTTTCCATTAAAATTTTTTCCATTTTGGACTGGGGTGGCTCGAAATGTTGCATACTTTTAAAGGATGCCATGAATGAAAAAAGGTTGAGAAGGGCTGCTCTGACTTTTTCCACTTCCACCTTCCTCCTTCCACTTTAAACTCCAAACTTTCTACACCTCGGATATATACTCACTGCAAATACACGTTAGTTTTTCTTTCTTTTCTAAGTGTGACTTGCGCCATTAAAACAGTAACTATATAAAACCAGTTTCAAAACGATTCCCCAATTTTAAAACATAATGTGAGCTTTTTAATATGCTCAGACTGCATTATGTGCGGCTGCTCTCTTTTGTAATTGTTAACACACCTTCCTGAGTAAACACTGTCAGTGTATTTAATCATTTAGCCTTGGGCCCCTCCACTCTCACATCTGTTTTCACTGGGGCTGAACAGTCTGAGATTAATTCTCCTCAAACTGGTGGAACATTTACTGAATGCGGAGGCCTCTGCTATGAGGAACCAACAATATTCCCCTCGTTCCTACACTAGGAGCTAGGGCCTCAGATACACAAAATGGCTGACACCAAGGAATTGACTAGGCCTCATTTTTATAATCCCTCAGGTTATGTGTCGCCTATAGCAATCAGTCCAGCTTTTATTTGTCAAATGCTGACTGGAATTTGACAAATACACTGGCAGAAAACACTAGCAGTCGACATTTCAGTTTTTAACTGCCTCCGGGCCGGCCGTAGTAAAAAAACGGCCGGCCAGGAGCTCTCTAGATCTGAGCGGGCGTCTCTAGACGTCCGCTCAGACACGCCCCCTTGCGCGCGAGCGGGAAATGGCCGCAATTTAAAAACGGCCAGCGATGCCCGTTAATATACATGCGATCCGCCGGCTGTAAAGCCGGCGGATCGCTTGTATTTAGCGACGATCGGTGCGGCCCCCCCCTCCCTCTGCTGTCCCCCCCGCCATTGTCC